TGCATTGGCAGTCTTTCGTATCAAATCTTCTGAGATGGATCTTACGCGCAGGTTGCTTTTCCATGCATAAAGAGCTAGGGCTACACATCATTTGTGGTTTTCTTCTCTTATATATCAAATTCGTCTCTCCCACAATAAGATAATTAATATAAAAGAGAAGGAATAATAATAAAAACAGAAGGGTGGAGAGAGAGAATGACTTTTAAAACAGGTTTAATCAAACACATAAGTATATAATCTCTCAATGATCCTGACGATCAATTTATGCTTCTAACTTTCATTTTCCTCAGAAGAGTTTCTTTCTTTCTTTCTTTCTTTCTTTCTTTCTTTCTTTCTTTCTTTCTTTTTCCTTCTTTCTTTTTCTCTTTCTTTCTTACTTTCAGGCTGATATTCTCACATGTCAGTATCTTTCTTTTTTCTTCCCAGAATTCTTCTGCATTTCTTCTGAGACCCCCCCAAGGCTATGATCTCCCCTCCTTCCCTAGTTTTGTGTAATTCTTGAAGGAAATGGTTGTTGGAAACACTAAGCATATATAAATACGGCATCTGATCATTATTTTTAATAGCAGCCATATTCATCAAAAACATTTTCCATTTTCACAATAACTGTAATTGCTGTTGATTGTTTTGTGTAATACAAAATCCAGTCTTACCATTCAACTAATTACATTTCAATCGATTAGCATGATTAATTCACATCAATTCTGCACATGTTCAGTCATTAATGACTAGACGATCCTTGTGGTAGCTTTCAACTGCTGAGTTCTATCATTCTGTGATGCCGCCTACATCATCACAACCATTTGCAATAACCTTTAGATTGATTTTAATATATTTTCCCACACATTAGGCACAGTTATAGGGATTTTTTCTTTGAGAAGAGGCTTTTTCTTAACAACTTGGGCGGGTCAGTTCCGTCAAATGAGCAAAATCCATTCTTTTTGTTTTGTTTTGTTTTGAAATTTTGGAAAGGAATGAAAGCTGAAGGGTCAATTTTCCACACAAAATATCAGTTGGTATGCACTTGTGCTAAGAATGACCCAACAGACTGTTAAATTCGTAGCTCTGCAAAAGTGAAGAAGTAGCACCCTGCTCATAATTAGTCCCTAATTGTCGTGTGACTTCTGGATATTGCATGGATAAGTCCCTGAAATTTTCATGGCAAGGGTTTTCGGCAGTGGTTTGCATCCCTCCTTCCTGGGGCTCAGAAAAAGTGATTGGTTCAAGGTCACCCAGCTGACTTCATGCCCAAGGTGCAACTAGAACTCACAGCCTCCTGGTTTCTAGCCTGGTGTCTTAACCACTGTCCAACCCCATCTCTGTAGACCAATGTTTCTCAGTTTCTGGAACTTTAAGATGTATAGACTTTAACTTCCGGAATTCTCCAGCCAGTGGAGATTATAAGTTCTGACAATTGGCTGGGGAATTCTGGGAATTTAAATCTACAAATCTTAAAGTTCACTACTCTAGGCACCAGTTAGAGGTCTGTGGAATATAATTAAGAGGCTGGGGTGATATTTTAAAAGGAAAAATTTTCTTCCTTCCATCCATTTCTCTATCCTCTTCTCTTCTCTTCTCTTCCATTCCCTCCTCTCCTCTCCTCTTTTTCTTTCTCTCCTCTCCTCTTCCTTTCCCTTCCCTTCTCCCCTCTCCTCTCCTCTTTTTCTTTCTCTCTTCTTTTTCTCTCCTCTCCTCTCCTCTCCTCTCGTCTCGTCTCTTCCCCTCCTCTCCCCTCTTCTCTTCTCTTCTCTTCTCTTCTCTTCCTACCTTAAAATCTCTTCCTTTAGACCCAATTCTTGACTTTGTAAGCCTCTGGATTCACTCCCTTCCCAAGAGGGCACCTCTCCTTCTGTACCTTCGGAGTGCTCTGAGGGTACAAATACAAGGCTGTCACAAAACAAATTTTAGCAAATCCTTTTTTAGATTGATGAACGGCCTTTGCACCCAAAGATGGGAGGGTGCAAATTGAGGATGTGCAAACAATCAGGGGTAAATGGCATTGCCCTAATAATGAGAGCAAAATGTCCTTCCTAAGCTAGACTTTGGAGAAGGGGAGTTACCCCCTTCAAGGGATCTGATGCATTTGTTAGGGATGACAAGACAAACAACTACGTGCATTTTTCTATAATTATGTCGGCCGGGTCAGAGAGGAATAGAAAATGAAGTGAATTCTTAATATCCTCAGAGATCACTTTGGGAAGCAGGTTGTTTTCGTTTCTCGTTTAGCCTTGCTGTCTCCCTTCGCTTTCCCTTTAATGTACCTAGCAAATGCTTTAAACTCTGGGATGATGCCATCGTGAACACATGGATTGTATCCTCATTTGAATTGGGCAGTGGGATCTGGTAGGCGGTTGTGCTAGCATGCAGCTAAATTTCAAAAACCCTCTGAAAGTCTTTGTTTCTATTTATCCTTTCTATCTTAACAGAATAACAGAGTTGGTAGGGACCTTGGAGATCTGCTAGTCCAACCCCCTGCTCAAGCAGGAGACCCTATACCATTCTAGACAAAGGGTTTTCCAATCTCTTCTTAAAAACCTCCAGTGATGGAGAACCACAGGTTAACTGTTCTCACTTTCAGTATATTTCCCCTTAGTTCTAGACTGAATCTCTCCTTGATTAGTTTCCATCCATTGTTTCTTGCCCTGCTTTCGGGTGCTTTGGAAAATAGGTTGAGTCCCCTTCTTCTCAACCCCTCAACTCAGTGTCTCATCTGGATGCCAAGCCTCTGTAGTTCAAGGTCTTTCCCCAAATCTTGTGATATTATTATTCTTAATGGCGCCCACTTAATAATACCCATAATAGTACCCATTTCCCCTCTGTCAAACTAATTCCGCTTAGCATCTCAACTCCTCCAGCTCCGCACAGAAGCGGGTCCAACAGTAAAGCGGATCCCATCAATATCTTATTCAGTTCCCTTTTAATTATTCCAAATGCTACCAAACTCTGCCACCGCCTTCTGGCTGAGTTCTGGATTAGTTAAATTAATGAGCCAGGAGAGAGAGAAGAAGGAGCTGCATTCTTGATTAAGAAGTGCTGGCTCAGGAAAGACGAAAAGGACAGGCAAGGAAAACTCAAGTTAATTTTATTATTTCGACAGCCCACCCCGTTCTCCCACCGACCCCCCAGCATAGTAAATGCCCTGGAAAAATTCCTTGGGCCAGTTCTGTTTGACAAGCCTTTAGCCAACTTCAGAAGAGTTCTCCACCAGCTCTTTTTCCGACTGTGCTTAATTAATCATCCCGTATTCTTTTTTCCTGCTCTTTCCACTTTCCTCCATGTTTTCCTTCTCGGGAAAGGATGTTTAGTGTGCTAAATAAATAAAAATGGGCATGGAATGAAGAAATAAAACCCTTCAGGCCTTTTTTTTTTAATCGTTTCCTTTTC